TGCGAGATTCCCCAGAGCTGTTTTGGGATAATAATCTTTTGGGGGACGACGGCAGTCAAAGTATGCTTGCAAGCCATGTGGGTAGGAAGGGGGTTATTTTTGGAGCATCGGCTTTGCCCACAGTAGCACGATCTCCCTTGGTCACCCCCACCCCCCACTCCCACTCCCACTCCGAGGGCTTTTTAGAAAAGGTTACTGGTTGCTCTATCGCCCCGGCATCACAGTGTTCTAGTGATACAGCAATTATGGGTTTTTCCAGAAGTCTGGAAAATGGCCTCTGGTGGCCCGGGAGGGATCCCGGGCGCAAGGTTGTCCTACACAGCCTGTGCACACTGCCTCTGCGGCAGCAGCGAGCCCCTAATGGGAACCGTGGCGCGGACGTGGCTCAGCCTGAGCTTATTCCCCAAAGCCGCCCTCATGCCTCATTTCCCCCTTTCGCCCCACAATCGATGATGCTGTTTCATCAGAACCTCTTGTGTTTTATGTAACAGCCTCTGATGCCAGCCAAATAAGCAGAAGCCATTAAAGGTTCGATCAGATCACACGGGCTTTCCCATCGGAGGGGGAGATCTATTAATGTAATGAGTCTCATCGCCACACGTGAGGAGCACTTCTGCAAGAATTCCCAGATGCAGACGAGAGGGGAGGGGGGAGTCCCCCCCCCCCTTTCACCCCCCCCCCCCCGTTCCTCCAGGATCAGAACTGGTCTTGTCCCGCATCTTCTTCTTCTTCTCTTGCAAACAGGGCCCCCCGAGTGAGCTGCCGCCCCAGGGAGAGAGTCAGCATTGATCCGTTCGGAAGCAGTGGAACGGCTCGGTCTCCTCCCTGAGGGTGCCGGCGGTGCCAGCTCAGGACACGCCAACAGGGGGGAAGGTTGTGCCCACCCACATCTCAGAAACTAGGGTCTGATCTAAATGGGATGCCCATCTGAGGGGGGGGGGAGTAGAACTCACTGATGAGGTCTTGCACGCACACACTCCGCATCGCATGTCAACTGGTCTTCTTCCTGCGCAATGTGGCTGTGAGCAGACGCCTCATTTTCACCATCCGTGGCACGCTGAGCTCTTTGGCCCAGGAAGCAGCAGCTCGGTTGTTATGTATTGGGACGGAAACACTGCAGGACTGTGCTGCCAGAGACAGGGTGAGCTTGGAGCCGAATAACAACAGACCAACAGGATTCTGGCAGGAACCAATCAAGGTGTAAAGTTTTGTAAATAGCCTGTCCTTGGGAGTGGGGTGTGCTGGGGTGGGGCCACTGCAGGCAATATAACCGAGCTGAGGCTCTGGTCTGCAGTCTCCTTCTTGCTGAAACCACTGAATAAAGTAGAGCGGATCACGAGACTGGGAGTCTGTTCCTCCGTGGAACCCAATATTTAAAATCAGTTAAAGCAAGAAGGGGTGCAGGTTGCCGGACAGCCCGAAGAGGGGATCCCCGCGGGCACCAAGCCCCCCCCCCGCCCTTGCTTCTCCAGTGGCAAAGGCGGCACACAGAAGCTCTCGCCCAGGCCCGGCTGCCCGCCCTGCCTTTCCGTCTTGCACGGACCCATCCAAAAGAAAGTGACGAGGGCCAACGAAACGACGCGGGGAGGGACCCCCTCTGGCCTGCTGGGATAGGTCCTGCTTGCTGGTGGAGATTCATGACAGCTTTTTCACAAATAAGAGGGGCCCTGGGGGGGTCAAAGGGAGCTGGGCTATCTGTGCAGGCAAAGGTCTTAATATTACGTCCCCCTGCTTGCCTTTCCTGGGGCTGCAGGGGCAGCCTGTCCATTAGAGAAGCCAATGTTGGATCAGGCCAAAGGCCCATCCAGTCCAACACTCTGTGTCACACAGTGGCCAAAAACACCAGGAGGTCCACCAGTGGGGCCAGAACTCCAGAAGCCCTCCCACTGTTGCCCCCCCCAAGCACCAAGAATACAGAGCATCCCTTGCCCCAGAGCCCCTATCTATACCTTGTGGCCAAGGTTCCCTCTAAGCTGCGGAGTCCTGTGAGCAAAAATCCTACTTTGTGAGTGACTGGCATTAAAGTGGTGAGCTGACGATTTGGCTGCTGGAGAAATTAGTTTGCCCTGGAGCCATCCTTCCTGAGCTAAGGCAAAAAGCTGTGAGCCGGAGGCTGAAAAAAACTGTGAGCCAGCTCATCCTAACTCAGCTTAGAGGGAACACTGCTTGTGGCCTCTGCTCCATATGCTTATCTAATTCCCTTTTGAAGCCGTCCATCCTTGTAGCCGCCACCACTTCCTGTGGCAGTGAATTCCATGTGTTAATCACTCTTTGGGTGAAGAAGTACTTCCTTTTATCCATTCTAACCCGACCGCTCAGCAATTTCATGGACTGCCCATGACTTCTTCTATTGTGAGAAAGGGAGAAAAGTACACCAGTGCTCCCTCCGAGCTGTGGAGTCTTGTGAGCAAAAAGTCCACTTTGTGAGCTGCTGGCATTAAGACTGGGAGCGAGCAATTTGGCTGCTGCATACATTGGTTTGCTCTCTGGAGCCCTTCCGGAGCTAAGGCAAAACTGTGTGAGCCAGAGGCTAAAAAACTGTGAGCTCGCTCACACTAGCTCATCTTAGAGGGAACGCTGATGGTCACATGACCAAGTTGGTTGCAAGACTGCAGCCACCAATGCTGCATTTGTTGCTGCAGCATCTGGGGAGCAGCCGGCTCACATGCAGCATCCTGCACCTAGGCTCAGGTGCACTTGCTCCTTGCATGGCTTGGAATGACCTGGGTTGCATGCAACGCCCCCCCCCCCCAGGCAGAGAGCATCTGAGTGATGACTGAATCACGCTTGATCAGTGCTCACGCAAGCTGGCCTGTTCCGAGTGTGACACTTCACAAGAAAACTCAGAGAATAGCTTGAAACCTCGGCTTCGCTAGTCAGTTCTGATTCATCTGCAAGAGCAAACACATTGAGCCGAGAGTGTCCCAGGCAGGCAGGCAGACAGGAGGGCGAAGGCTTGTGGGGGTGTGGGGGCTCAGCTACGGGAGCCCGACCATTTGGAGACACCCGATGCTGCAGGACTGCGCGGGCGGCAGATGAGACGTGCAACCTCCACGCTGCATGAGCCAGCCCCACTTTTGCAGGTCACTGCCTCTTTTTTACCGGCTGCACTTGCAGGGCATTTGGGGCCAGGAGAGGAAGCAACGCTGGGACCTCCTGGGGCAAAGAGCGGGAAAGAGAACCGTGGCAAAGGACTGCTGGTGCCGACAGAGCCGAGCAAGAACGAAATCTGGAGCCAGTTTGGTGTCGTGGTTAAGTGCGCGGACTCTAATCTGGGAGAACCGGGTTTGATTCCCCACTCCTCCTCCGCATGCACCTGGCTGGATGACCTCAGGGAAGCCGTTGTTCTGACAAGAGCTGTCCTTGAAAAAGAGCAGTTTGTGTCAGAGCTCTCTCAGCCCCATCGACCTCACAGGGTGTCTGTTGTGGGGAGGGGAAGGGAAAGGAGTTTGTGAGCCGCTCTGAGACTCCCTTGGGTAGTGAAGGGCCATGGGGTATGAATCCAATCTCCTCTTCTTCTTCTTCTTCTCTTCAGCCCGTCTCTGTGGCCACGCCTTTCCAGAGCCCTTCATGCTGCAAACAGGACCAAACAGAATTCCCCGTGCTGACAAAGCTTCTGCCTGACTGACTGCCTGCCTCCCACAATGAGCTTTGGGCTCCTTCTCACTCAAACAATATTCCGGCTGCATTTGGTATGAAACCGGGCAGGTCGTCATTCTAGGACAGAGGTCGCCCCACCTTTTTGAGCTCGTGGGCTCCTTTGGAATCCCGACACAGTGCGGTGGGTGCAGATCCCACATGTTTGCCACAAAATGGCTGCTGCTGGAGGAAGCGGAACCAGCCTCAGAACGGCTGTTGCAGCTGACCTCCAGTCACACAGCGAAGTTACTCGTACTGTGGTGGCAGCTCCTGCCCAAGCAACGTTTTTTTAAAAATCAGCACCACCGATATGGCCAGTCGGAAGCCTCAATGGGCTAAAGCTACACCTGGCCCCACCCCCTTTCCAAAAACACTGGAGATGTTGGCAGGGGCCATAGCGCCTGTGGTCCCCATGCTGGGGACCCCTCTTCTATGGGAGAAAAAAGCTGCAGGCAGGGCTATTTTGGGGCAGGAACGCACAGGAACGGCCTTCCAGCTGGCTTCAGAGTTGGCCATGCCCACTGCAGCCAAAACCTCCACGCGTGCGGGACTACAGAGGGAAGGCCTGGAGAGCGACACCACCACCCCGCAACTCCGAGGCGGGCGGGCCAGGGGGGCCCTGGAAGGACCAGGGAGGCCCTGTCCGAGAGGGCCTGCTTGCCTGGGCTTTCTGCAGCCATGGCTTTCTGCAGTTTAAACTGCCTTCCCTTCCCTTCAAGGGGGGGGGGCTTGCCCAGGCTCCCCACAGCTGTGGGGTGCCCGGGCAAACCAAGGGAAGGCATGGGGGTGTAGCGTAATATGCTAATGAGCTGCACGGTCATGGGTGTGGCCTAATATACTAATGAGTTCCTGCTAATGGGTGTGGCCTGTTATGCTAATGAGTTCCTGCTGGGCTTTTTCTACCAAAAAAAAAAAATCCCTGGCTGCGAGAATGAGAAGGATTCTCCGATGTGTGTGTGTGGGTGGGCTCACATGCCTCTGTGGAAAGAAAGGCAGCCACACAAGAGAGACACGAGAGTTCTCTGCAGCTGTTCCGGAGAAGAATGGCCGCCACCCAGCCCCCCCTCCTTAGACACCCCCAGGGCCCAAGGTCTTCACTACTACCTGCCCCCCCCCCATCACTCCTTTCCCTCGTCTTGTATTTCTGGTATAGATTCCAGCCTGCCGGGTAGCAATTGTGTGTCTCTTTTGGGGTCCGTGCAGCCCCTTGCACAGGGTTAAAAAAGAGAGGCCCCCCCAGGTAATCTCCAGGGCCTCCCGGCGGTCCCACACAGGCCATTTAGCCTGCCTGGTTGCACCGTGTCGGAATGAAGCGGGGGGGGGGGGAGAAGGAGGCCCATCACAAGTAAGCAAATGTTTTATTTTGTATTTTAGTTGCAGAGAACTCCCAAAACAGCTTCTGCGCCGTTTGTCTGTCACACATCTTTGCGTTTTTGGGTCAGGAACACGGACAGGGCCAGGGGAGGAGAAACCACTGCCTGCGGGAGAGAACGGTCCAAACGGATCCATCTTTGATGCTGCTTCTGTTGATATCTGGGCTCCTGAAGGACCAAAAGACAAAGAGAAGGAAAGGTAGACCCTGGAAATATCGACATGGACTTTCTTCAGAGGTACTGCAGCTTCCACGGGGGGGGGGGGGCACCCCTTGTTTGGAGGAGGAGCCCCCTCCCTCCCCCTAGCCCAGGCGCCCCGCTCAGACCTTGGCCACCTCAGCCTCCCCACCCCCATGGCCCAGCCTCCGTGCAGCACGCAGGGTGGACGGAATCAATGAGGATCTGAGCCTGCCCACCAGCTCAAAGCCCCTCGGAATGTCACGCGCCACATGATGGATCGATTAAACATTTGCGGAAGCTGAGCTGCTCAGATCTTGTTTCCTAATTGTCTCATAATTAGCCCCTTTGCTAGCAAGCTGGATTCCCTTCGCCTGCAGTCTGCCCTTCAGCCTCCTTCAGCTTCAGTGGAGGCATATTTGTTGGTCGTTATGAGCCAGGGGGCAAAAGGCTGCCACCGCGCGCCCCCCCTCACACCCCGCCCTCTCGCCTTCATCCCAGCAGCAGCAGCAGGAGCCGCTGCCATGAGCATCAAGGCCTCCCCCCCCCCCAGCCCTGGAGCTCCACCCACCAAACAGCAGGTCTTGGCGTGGTGTGCTCGGAATGAGGCCTGCCTGGTAACACTGATGCTTGGCACTTAACGCAGCACTCGGAGACAGCAACAGCGTCTCACAGAGGTTATTTTGCTGCATGCCTTCCAGCGGCTACCCAGAATAAAACTTTGTTGGTCTTCAAGGTGCTTGACTGGACGCGTATTCGTCTCTTCTGTTGCTTCAGACCAACAGGGTGACCCACCTCAGTCTATAGGTGGCTAGGATTATCCTCACACAGTTCAGAGAGGAGGGTCTTATGCCCCATCGGAGGTACGTTTCAAGGCAGAGCCATCCTAATGTGGAGCTCTGCCTTCTCACAGCAGTTCCAGGATGCCGGGCAGCTCCCAGGAAGAGCCTTGAGAGCAGTGTTCCCTCTAAGCTGAGTTAGTGTGAGCTAGCTCACAGTTTTTTAGCCTCCGGCTCACACATTTCGTTCTCCGCTCAGAAAGGATGGCTCCAGAACAAACTAATTTATGCAGTAGCCAAATCACCTGCTCACAACTTTAATGCCAGGAGCTCACAAAGTAGAGTTTTTGCTCACAGGACTCTATAGCTTAGAGGGAACACTACTTGAGAGCCAGTTTGGTGTCGTGGTTAGGAGCGCGGACTCTAATCTGGGAGAACCGGGTTTGATTCCCCACTCCTCCTCCACTGGCACCTGGCTGGATGGCCTTGGGCAAGCTGTAGTTCTGATAAGAGCTGTCCTTGAGAAAGAGCAGTTTCTGTCAGAGCTCTCTCAGCCCCGCCTGCCTCACAGGGTGTCTGTTGTGGGGAGGGGAGGGAAAGGAGTTTGTAAGCCGCTCTGAGACACCTTTGGGTAGTGAAGGGCGGGGTAGAAATCCAATCTCCTCCTCCTCTTCTTCCTGCTTCCCTTCCCCCTCCCAGCTAGAGGCCTCCCAAAGATTCATGGGCAAGACAGATGGGCCTGAGGACTGCCCGGAGCACACTGGAGAGGGGAGTCGGCGTTTCCTGTTTGTGCAAAGCACCTGCCCGGGTTCTTGATTCTGGCTTCTTTAATATTCCTCCCTGAGTGCAACCCCCCCCCCACATCTCTCACTTTCCACTCCAAACTAGAGGCTCCCCGTGGCTGATTTAAACAAAGACCTGGGCCACCTCAACCACACAGATGGTGCGTCCTATAAAGAAATGTTTTATTAACACATCCAGGGCCACGGAGGTGGCTTCAGCCGACTCGCTGGGTCCCAAGGCAGCTTCATCATCTAACACTTCTTAATTTGGTTTAAGCACTTAACTGCAGCGCTGGGGGTCCACCAGGGACTCAAAGCAGGCTCAGAGTACTAAATCCTAAGTGCCAACGTGGCCAAGTTACCGAGTAATTTGGAGCTGATGCAAGTCTTATCAGAGGCAGAGGGGGATTCTTCTTAGAGAAACCCAAGAGCATCCAGATAAAAATACCTCTTCAAATAGACGTGCCAGGACTCCAGAGGCACAGAAATACAAAGGCTAAAATGAATATTAAAAAGCATGCCACAGTCTTGCAATGCAGCTTGGAAATGCTCAGGTTTGGATGTTGGTGCATCTTCAGGAAGAGGGCGTTTTACAGCCAGGGGAAGTTCCTGCCCCCTCCATGCCCCCCCCCCCAGAGCAAAGGTGAGGCGGCTCCAGGTTCCTTCTGAAGGATGTGACAGTCCGGCAGAGAAGAAGCGCCCCCTCCCCTGGGGGTGGAGCCTTAAGACCTTGAGCTTGAGAGCCAGTTTGGCGTAGTGCGTGGACTCTAATCTGGGAGAACCGGGTCTGATTCCCCACTCCTCCACTTGCACCTGCTGGATGACCTTGGGCAAGCCGTAGTTCTATCAGAGCTGTTCTTGAAAAAGAGCAGTTTCTGTCAAGAGCTCTCTCAGCCCCACCGACCTCACAGGCAGTGTTCCCTCTAAACTGAGTTAGTGTGATCTAGCTCACAGTTGTCTAGCTTCCGACTCACACATTTTAATCTTAGCTCAGGAAGGATGGCTCCAGAGCAAAGTAATGTATGCAGTAGCAAATTGCTTGCTCACAAGTTTAATGCTGGTAGCTCACAAAGTAGAATTTTTGCTCACAAGTCTCCACAGCTTAGAGGGAACATTGCTCACAGGGTGTCTGTTGTGGGGAAGGGAGGGAAAGGAGCTTGTAAGCTGCTCTGAGACTCCTTTGGGTAGTGAAAGGCGGGGTAGAAATCCAATCTCTTCTCTTCTTCTTCTTCTCTAAGGGTTAGGGTTAGGGCTCTGCCATCAGCACTTTCAGGCCACGTGGGACGCAGGTTAGTTCCATGTCTCTATAAGCTGGCCCTGCCTTGGAGGGCAAACCACATACACCCATCCTAGCTAGCAGAGTAGCAACTGCCTTCAACACTTGATCCAGACCAGAGGTCAGCACTGCCAGAGTCTCAAAGCAACTCATAACCTCCTTTCCCACCTCTCCCTTGTGAGGCAGGTGGGCCTGAGAGAGTCCTGAGAGAACTGGGTCCGGCCCAAGGTCATCCAGCAGGTGTCATGGGGAGGGGGAGGACGAGTGAGGAGACAAACCCTCTGGTTCTCCAGATTAGAGTCCACCACACCACGAACGAGCTGACACTAGGGTGCCTGCCTGCTGTGCTCAAATCTGGAACTCTGCCTCCCCGCTGTTCGGCTCTGCCTTCCTTGCCTCCGGCAACTTCACGTCAAATCCCCAGGGCCCCCAACAGAGGGCTGTGCAGGCAACTCTCTGGGACCATCCAGGGTCTGAACTGTGACTGGAATGGGTGGTGGTTGTCAATGCCCCCTCAAAGCTGTGGTGTCTTGTGAGCAAGAATTCTATTTGGTCAGCTGCTGGCATTAAGGTTGTGAGCGGGCGATTTGCCAATGCATCAGTCAGTTTGCTCTGGAGCCCTCCTCCCTGAGCGAAGACAAAAATGGGTGTGCTGGAGGCTAAAAAACTGTGACCTAGCTCACACTCACTCAGCTGAGAGGGAACACTGGTGGTTGTGATATCTAACAACTGAAATACACGGGGCAGGGTCCATACCTTGGCGACGCTAAAGGCTCAGCGGCAAATCCCTTGAGGCTTGCTTCAACCGCGAGCCAGCGGTGGTGTTGAAGTTGGAGCAGGGGGTGGGCATTAGGGCTGGGGAAAGGATCCACAGAACATGGAGTTTGCAGGCACCACACTTTGAACTACCTGCCACCCCTTCAGGAGAAGAGCTGAACCTTCTCCGTCTAAGATGGGTTGCCGTGTTAGTCTGTCTGTAGCAGCAGAAAAGAGCCAGCATACAGAAACACCTTAAAGACTAACAAAATATGTGGCAGGGGAGGAGCTTTCGTGAGTCACTGCTCGCTTCGATACAGCTAGAATGTGAGTCCATCTGCCCTGTATATTGGAAAGTGGAGTGATTTCAGATGCCGAATGAAATTAGCAGGCAAATGAGAGTAGCAGGCAAATGACAAAAGCAGGCGTGATTGGATTAGGTGTGATATGCAGAGAGCTATCCATTGTCTTGAGCTTCAGTGCATCCACCTGGACTCAATCGAGACCTAGGTTCCCTGTCTCATCACCAATGCTGATTTCTCCATGCCTACTACCTCTCTGCCTATCTCACCTAATCCGATCATGCCCCCTATTGTCATTCACCTGCTATTGTCGTTTCCCTGCTACAGTCATTTGGCATCTGAAAGCACTCTGCTCTCCAAGATATAAGGACAGAGGGACTCCCATTCCAGCTGTACCTGAAGAAGTGAGCAGCGACTCACCTCAGCTCCTACCCCACCACAAATGTGGTTAGTCGTTAAGGTGCTCCTGGACTCTGGCTCTTTTCTGCTGCTTCACACTCCAGTTCCACCAATTCCATCACTTGGTGACAGCAGCCGATCCCTGGCGCCTGCCCGCGCGCCAAGGCACCAGCCGCTTACCTCATTCCTTCCCCAGGTATTTCATCATGATGCTGTTCACATCGTCGTCCTTCCCGTCTGCCTCAGACCGCCCGCCATCTTTGGCACTAGTGGCGCTTCCTTTCTCAACACATCCTTCCCCCTCCAGCCTCTGGATTCTTGGCCGACTCTTGATGCTGTCGGCACTTTTGAAAGACACCACGGAGCTGGAAGATGAGGAGGAATCGGAGAGGTTCCCAGGGTCCTCTTTGGGCCTCGGGCTTGGTGATGAGGGGGTCTCAGTGGAGATCTGGTCTTCAAAATGGACGCTCATGGGCCTGTGGCCCTCCTTCCTTTCCCGGGGTCCTCGGGACAAGCTGCTTGTGGACTGGGCTTTCCGGATGGCTGGGAGGATGTCGTCGAATTCAACGTTTGTCTTTCTTTCGTAGCTCAGAGTTGGTATTTCCCAAGAGAACGGGTCGCTTTCCTTTCCTTTGCTTGCCACATCTCCAGCTCTCTTGCTCTGAAAGCCCAGCGGATCCTGGCCCGGGGCCGTGTCGGCCACTCCTTCCAATGACGCTGACAGGCTGCCCCTCCACGGCTTTTGCCTTGAGGAGGCGCTGAAAGTGTTTCCTCCCAGGGCTGGCGGGCTGAGCTCTGAGTACGCACCATCCATGTTCTGAACAAGGGAGTCGTAGGAACCAAACTTGGAGACCCTCTTCAGGATGGGCGAGGGGGCTGGCGGCGGCTTGCCCTCGGAGGAGACGCTGCGCAGGCTGGAGGACCGAGTCAGGCCGGCTCCACCACTCTCCCCCCCAGGTCTGTCGGGCTTTACTGAGTAATCTTCATCCTCCTGCAAAGTCCTGCATCTTCTAAGGGACGAGGCCCCCGTGGTCTGGTAAATGGGCAAAGACGAAGCCTCATCCAGCGCTAAGGCTCCCGGCTCTCTGTCTTTCAGCCTCTGCCTCCGCAGCTCTTCGACGTATTCCGAAAGTGCCGACGAAGAGCGTGACAATTTGCCATCGGCTGAAGGAGACATCTTTCTAATCACTGATGGGGACACGGGACTGGGCAGTTTTCCTTCTGCAGATGCTGCTGGAGAGGACCATTTCCTCATCACAGACGGAGAGACGGAACCTGTGTTTTTGGGCACATCCAACTCCTCTATGGAGAGGAGCTTCCCGTGTTCCCGTCTCTGGGCACTGAGGGAAGGGCTCGTGAGTCTGCCCAAATCCTCCTCCCTTCCGTTTCTTCCATATTCCCGCCTTTTAACACTTAACAATGCTGGTGGACTCTGGCCGAGATCGTTGTCTATTCTAGGAGAAAAAGTGAAAAGACAACACCGTGAGGGAGCGCGGCAGCACCTGTGCAGGAAAGCATGTTTCCTGGAGTTTAAAAACATGCACTCACAATTGTCACGCGAGGTATAAATATTTAATTTAAATATTAAATTAGAAACATCTTCTGGTATTTGTTGTTATCATTGTTACTTCTGCATAAACTAAAAAGAAGAAGGACCATCTCCTGGTGTGTGCCACTAGTTCACTCGATGTCGAGTAATGCATTTTCTGAACATAATTAGAGTAATAATAAAATGGCCGAATGCCTTTGAAGAGCCAGGAATCCGAGCCGCCATTCCGAGAACACAGTAAAATTGGTGCTGCCCCCGCCACAATAGATTGATTCACCTGTTTAATTATGGCTGAGTGTTTCATTGCATTTTTACCTAAACTACCTTGAGCCAACTTCAGAGGACGGCGGAAGACCAGAAGGCCTGGCGTGATGTGGTCCATGGGGTCGCGAAAAGTCGGACTAGACTGTGCGACTGAACAACAACACCTTGAGCGACATGCATACGCATTCCTGTGTCCGCACAGCTTTGCTGCAAACCCAGCAAGGGAAACACTTGAAAGAGGCCGATCGGCCCGGAAGCCCTAGAGGGGAGGAGGGGACTCTCCCTGACATCTGAGGAGGCTGCTCTGTGCACAGTTCCAAAGCCGAAGCATGACTGGGAGTGCACAAGCCAGTCCCTGGACGCCTCGAATGTGCAAGCATCCCTGGGTGCATGCAAGGACGCCGGTGGAGCCCCGCCAGGTAGAGCTCCACATCTGCCTCCCAGCACACGTGGGTCTCTGAGCTGCAGTTGGGCCGGGTTCAGCTCCCTGCTCCCACTCGTGAACAGCTCAGGCAACCAGAGGCCTTTTGAGCATGGACAGTGGCCAAGGCTTCTGCAGAGCTGTTTGCTTCCCACTTGCCTCACGCACAGGAGAGGGAGGGGGGGTGCCTCCAAAGTCTCTACTGCTATTCCGCCAGGAAAGGAAGGCGTAAAGGCCCCCTAGAGCCCCTCCTCCTCCTCCAGGAAAGCCTGGATCCACCGGCAGAGCCAGCCACGCTGGTCCTACCCCAGGTGGGTTCCGGTCATGGCTGGTTGAAACTCTCTTGCTGGCCAAACTGGAGGGCCAGCAGGACACAATACGAGGCCTCCTGTCTTTGCAGAGAAAGCAAGGCGGGAGATCACTGGTGAGGCTGGAACCCCCACCCCACCCCACCCAGCCTGAGCG